CAGGGTAAGGACACTTGTGGCGTGCAGAGCGCAGGGACAGTGCCCTGTGCTTGCAGATTCAGTGTATAACAGGGGATCCCTGCTCGAGAGAAGAAAAATCCACCTGGACTCAGCTTTCCCCCATTCGTTACAGGATCAGTATTCTGCAAAGCCTTGCTGCTATTTACCACAAAAGATTCATTTTCCTGCCCGCAAGAAACAAAATGCAGCCTGAAGTCACTTCCTCTGCGGGGTGGAGTTCAGGCTCGAGAAAAACAAACCAAGAGTTCACCTTCCGGGGGGAGTTCTGCTCCGAGAGCCCAGAGAATGGCCTGAGCCTCATCCCCTCTGCTTTTGGCAAAGAGAGGGTTGTACAGCTCCCCCCGCCTCTGCTCAGCCACCCGTCCTGGCAGAGCTCTCGGGCAACTCAGAACAAGAACGTGGGTGGAGGAGGGAGCCCAGGTGCTGACCTGCGCTGTCTTGTGTTGTTTGAAAGCTCCTGGGCAAGTCCCGTAGATAAACTAAGAGATGAAAGAAAGTTCTGCAGAACAAAAGCACATTTATAGGTTCTATAAAATCAAGGTTGAAAAAAACTCTCCCTCACTCACGAGAAGGATGAATGATCCTGGGAAAGCAATAAAAGCCGCTGCAGCCGCTGCCACGGGCAGTTGCTGTTTGGAACGGCGACAGGAGAAGCCCCTGTCCCGTCACCAGGGTGGGCTCGGATGAGCAGCTCCCACCACTCACGCAGGCTGATGGGGAAACCGCCGGCTGTTTGCAAAAAGTGTTTAATGGAGACAACCACGCTCACATCTCTCTGAAGCCAAGTCGCCTCCAGCTTCAGCAAAGCCTGTCCCTGAACCCTCGGCTTCCCTCTGCCAGCCAGGGCACAACAAGTCCCTGCTCGGTCCCGCAGCCCGGGCAGGGCTGGAGCAGCCGGAGAGCGGCTGTGTGAGAGCACCATCCCCCAGCGCCATCGCGGGGGTCACTGGGAGCCAAGGGGCTCAGTGCTGGGCTGGAGTGGGAGCGAGGAAACACAACATCTCATGGACAGCACAGTTCCTCTGGAGATGTCACACAAGGAAATAATTGGTAAAAAAATTTGGTCCAACACGTTTGTCTACTGCAGGATCAAAAAAACAAAAAACCCACCACAAAAGGAGACTGGAGAAAGAAGGAAAAATTATTAGAAAAGTCAATCAAAAGCCAGAACACCCAGCTGAAACCATCTCCTGCTCTCTGCAGCCAGCCTTCAGGAGGGACTTGCCCAACCCTCTACCATTGCCAAAGGAAAGGGTGGCACTGTAAACTGGCGTGTCTTGGCAAAGCACTTGGCACACCAGGCTTTCTGGTCCTGTTCTTTCTTTTTTTCCCCCAGACCTGAATAACCACAGGGTTTCACGGATCTCACCAGAACCAGAATTTCACACTAAATGCAAGGGGTTGCAAAGCCAGAGCCACCTCCAGTCTTCATGGCTACTGCTCCCTCCCCACCCCCAAACATGAAAGAGCATCAAAGAGCAGTAAAAATGTCTTTATAAAGCCCTGCACTCCAGAACACCGAAAATCCTGCTGGTTCAACTCACAGTGTGAAAACACTCACAGCTTCCTCTCAAAGGTCCCAAGTACTCACACCTTCAAATTAAGGCATCAGCAGCTCTGAAATTAGGACCCAAGATATCTCATGCTCACAACCCAGAGTCACTAACTCCTCTCAAAGCTCTTGCTCACATGGGTTCTTCAGATATATTGAGGAAAGCAAAATTCACAGCCGTCAGCTGGTCTGAGCTCCCTGTATTCTGGTCTGTATCGCTTATCTCCTGGCCACGGCAGAAGTGAAGGGCGTGGGATAAAGCACTGGAGGCTGCTGGGAGCACTGGGCGTTGAGAATGGAAGGAACAAGGCAGATCCACGATACACTGATTATCACCATGCTGGAAATAACGCAGGATCAGTCTCCCTCCTGCCTGCAGCCAGCAGCAAGTGTATATATCTGAGCTGAAAGAATGTATCAAGAGACCTCTACCAAGGATTCAGAAATAATCTTTTTGTTCCTCTTTGTTGCAGAAAACAAGTAATTCCCCCTCCACTTCTTCCTGTGAAGCATCTGGTGCTGCTGGAGATAGAACAAGACCCGTGGGCTGACGGCTGGGCGCTGCAGCAGCTCTCATTTCCCGGCCTCAGCCAGAGGAGAGTAAATAAAACTCCGCTTGTGCTTGGGCCTCAGCACAGAATGTTAAACACTGCTCCTGGAGAGCACATGCCTTCTGCTGGTAACACATTCCAGCAGCAAGACTGCCTGCGGCACCCGCAGCCGAGCCAGCCTCAGCATCGGGCTGCTCCCGCAAAGACCGCGACCCCGGGGCTGGGCAGCACATCCCACCGAGGGACAGCAGAGACTGGGGAATAGGGACCCCCTCCCACCTCCTGAGAACAGCCAGCAAGCAACTTAACACTGGCAGGACAGCAGGAACAATCAGACTGAAGAAAGCACTCTCACTAATCCTAGGAGCTCTGTCTTTATCTCTGAATAGCCCCGACCAGCCTCTGATAATTGTTGATACAAGATAATGAGCTTCATTTTTCTCCTTTAACTCTTTGCCAGTCTCTATAGAAATTATCAGAAGGGACAAGAGATGAACCCAAGGCAGCAGCATCAGCATATCCTCGTGCCAGCTCCTGCTTTGCAGCCGTGGAGGACATTGACCTGACCTGCGGTGCCATCCCTGTCCTGGCTTGGGAACGGTCCTGGCTGCAGAGTTCATGCTCAGAGAGGTTCACGGCCACCCCAGCCTGCTCCTTTGTTCAAGGACATCTACCAGGAGCTTCTCCCCCAAAGCACAAGCTTTTGGGTCTTTTATGGAACACAACTCCAACAAAAGAGTGGTGAGCGTTAACCCTGCTCTGCCCTGAGCTCTGCTTTACTCTTTAAAACAACCCTCTTCGCTAAAGAGTTAACCAGCTTCTCATTAGTTTTTTTTGTTTGTTTTGGTTTGAGGAAGGATCAAACCCTCAGGGCTTTCAGTCTGGTGCTGCAGCCTTTTTAGTTACATTTTCCCCCTCACCTCGCTCCCCTCTGCACTCTTCCCGCCCAAAGGATAAACGCTGCCTAACTTCAGGAGCAGAATTTAATAAACTTCTTACAACGTTACTAGAAAGAGTTGACTCCTCTAAGCAGCGTGTTTTTCTCCAGGCGCTCTGCGTTCCTGCCCCTCAGTTTCACTTCTGGGCTGGCTCCCAAACTGCAGTGAACTCTGTCGTGCCTCCCTTGTGATCCCATTTCCTAAAAACGGATTCCGGGATGGCAATCTTGGCTCCCACCCACACACACGGGCTTCAGCCGCTCACTCCTGAGCCCAGCCTAGCCGCAAAGAAACACCTGGACCCCGTGTGCGGACAGC